GTTTCTCTGTGCGTTCAGGTTCAGCACTTTGTTGCTTGGAGGTCGAAGCACGTTTCTGAATCCTAGGCTTTTTGATGACCGTATGGACATTCTTGAGGGTAGAATGTGCAATAAAATCACCAGTTGATTTCCGTACAACACTTGGGATGTTCAGCTTAGACGGTGACGTCTGGTTCTTTTTATCTCTGTTAACGCGGATCCAATCACCTATAGAGTTTTGGGGACCACCGTTGCAATCAGGAACCCTGAGCTGGGAGACCCGAGTTTATTGAGGGAATCAATTATTGTCGACGTAATCATGGTGCTGAGTTTCAACATGTCATCATTAGTGCTAATTCATGCTCCATCGATGGTAGACCTGTCGACATCCATATTCTTGTTTTCGTTGCGCTCCCTTGTTTGTCTACCCGATTTACGACTGTCTTTTTCCAAGTTTGCTGACAACTTATTCCGCAGACCTGTCAATAAGACAATGATGTTACTCAGCAAAACTACAGCATCTGTGCTGCACGTAACACATATCCACTTATGATCCGACTTGCTGAGTCTGTTGTAAGCAGTTGCTGTGAGATCTGTGCACGCTTCATGGAACCAACCGTTGCAGTTATTGCACTGCATGCCAGATATAACAGCGAAACGGCATCTAGGTCGATTGCATGAGTTTTTCACGACTATATTGACATAAACTGTATTATAGATGCTAGCAAAAGCCTAAGATCATAAAAAATACAACAAAAAGCACACTAAAAACGGGCGAAAATTGATAAAAACGGATGAGATAAACTGAAATAGCCTTTACGTGAAAAACTGGAAAAAACCGAATAGTAAGCTGAGGCAAAACCACAATTAACTATTAAACTGGGTGAAACTCGAAAAAAGTAATCTACCGAACGTATAGCTCAGAATAGATTGTTTAGATGAGAAATGGTCCTTTCGTTGCGTAAGAACACAGCAAAAGTTTGAGAAAAGCAAATCACGTTAGGATTAAATTTCCCGTTCGAAAAGCTCGCTGTTAGAAGTTCAAACTTGTATTTGAATGACAAAATAATCATGCTCCTTCAAAATGATAGACAGCAAGAGTACCTTAGATATTGTGCCTGGTTACCATTTCCTTAGTACCTAAAGCCCTAACTAAAATGTTAGCATTATCGATGAAACTGCTGTTGACTTGCGAAAACTTTTATGCTATCTACTTCTAAGTTGCACTTACATCGCAGAGGTATATCAGTTACTTTCGTAAATATCGTATCCTCACACGTTTTTATTATATCCATATAAACGGACCTAGCCTTCAGTCGGCCCGTACGCTTCGGACTAATAACGAATTACAGTTTAATCTATCCTTTTGTAGTAGGGAGACCACTGACTCGTTTACATATATGTGGTTTGTTCAAAGTCAGGGTTAAGTCAAAAAAGTTAAGAAACTATAATAAACAGATGAACACTCTATACTTGAATGTCTAGGATCTAAGTTCAAATGCTTATCGCCACAACGAGCAACATTTTTATCCTTCAAAACCACTTCTTCAGTGAGAAATGGCGAGACGTTCTCACCCAACCATTCTATACAGTTCCAATCAGGTTTATGTTCTAGCTTATATGATTATGAAGGACCAAGTGCCAGGTGCCCTGTAGATAATTTGTCTCAACAGACAACAACTAAGGGTAAAATGTAGTAATAATCAGGCTTTTATGGATGCTCCGTTGCATATCGCAAAGCAAATGAGTTGACTGCTTATATGTAATACACTAAGTTTCTCTCATGCTGAAGATAACAATATTGTCAGCATTTAGAAAACACCATTTATCTTAATTTAGAGTGGATCGTTGGGTGTCATATGTTAGTTCTAGCAATGGCGGTCTCTCAACTGGTGCAAGTTTCTTTTAAAAGGGTCTACAGATTGGGTTTCAATTACGTGTTGATGTGATGGACTCTATTCGTTGATGATTCTATCGGAATGTCGATTGTCAGCTGATGAGTTATTTGTTCTGGGATCGCGAACGTTTGTAATATGTCCTCATAAATTCTCTACGTTGGAAAACAAGAAAAATGAGACCGAATCGGATTTAAGTTTATAACCCAAAAATTATGTGGTCAAGTTCCCTCTTATTCTTCTCTGTGACAAGAAATATGGATTTAGTTTATCCAGTCTATCGTCATACAGGGGCTTTGTCACTCCGGAAATCATTAGGGCCGGGCTCCTCCAAATATTTTCTAAAAGCTTACTGTCTCTTTTATGCAGGGACTAGCTTTGATATGCAGCGCTTGAGATTACGACAACCAAACACTGCAAACTAGGTCAAAAAGTTTTCGGCATCAATACTACTCGAGGCTCTATGTATTTATCAATAGGTTCTTAAACCTTTAGCAGCTATCGCACTAATATGTGCAGCAGTTTTTAAGTCTTGGCTAGTGATGATTTACAGGTGATTGTGTGGCTGGACAACAGGCAGCTTAATGTGATTTACCATGTATGTATCCGTACCCTAGTGACTGGTATGCATCATAATGTTTTCGGAAACATTATTCGGTAACTGCTAAGTTTGAGACCATTCGGATAATTTCTCCAGGTCATTTTGAATTTCTTAACTAGAAAGGGCAACACTGTTACCAAGGCTGCTACATTCTAACTACCCAACTTGAACTGCACTCGTACTCTTAGCTAGCGCCCAATTTCGAAGATTTTGTGCACAGGGATAAATTGTTTTCGATCTCAATACCAAATAACTTTCACGAAAACGATTGTATGTAACTTTCCAAAGGCCTTGCTTAAGTAAACGCAGCTTACGGCTGCCAATAAGTCTGTGAGACATGAATAACCTGCGTCTAAAACCACAATGTTTTTTCAAAATAATTCAGTTTTAGTTTAAATACCCAAACAACTCTTAACGATTTATCTTTTCCAAAATCATTAGCAACCACGCTAGTCGGGCTCATGGGTCGACAGTTCTTAGAAACGTGTCTTTTACCTGTATTGAAGACAGTTTTATTATGGTGTTATAATCGTCTTTTAATAATCTTACTAGTATTACATATAGATTAAAATATGTGCTTAAGGGATTTCCGGTAAAATTTTCCAATCCCTATAGTAATTTAGGATGCATTTTATCGGGTCCCATGGATTTATCGGTGTCAAGCTTATTTAATAATAAGAATATGTTCCTGACAGAACAAGTACACGCCATTTTTACAGGCATGATCAATAAGTTATATTGAATAACACGTCGTTGTTGATAACGATCAGATCAAGCACTAAAGCTGCATGGTCACCATAACCTAGTGGTGGCATATAAACGAGGTTTGTAATGTGATCCTCATGATATGCTAAGCTGAGACCGTAAATAGTTTCCTCTTTCACATATTGCGCTATGGCACTTGGGATAACTGTATCAACCAGTGCTATTCGAAAAAATCTACGGAAACTCAGTCTTCAGACGTTTCCAGTCTACCTTAAGTACATTAAAGTCTTCCAAAATTAAAAATGTCGACCACCTGATGACCAAGTTTTGTAACCGTCCAATAAGAGGTTATTTATCTTACAGTCTGAACTGCGGTAAACCAAGCCAGCCAGTAGCTTTTGTCTTTTGTATTTCGAGCGGAAACTAACTATGTTATTGATAACAGTAAAGGGGATAGTGTTTCTAATACATAGATCTACTCCTCCTGACTTGCGCTTTTTGGGTTCTGTAAGCTCTTACCTACGTGAAACTTTGAAAATCAATTTCCCTACTGCATCAACCAAATTTCTGTGACTGTGGTTATATCCGGCTTGGTGGAGTCTGCCTGTTCGTCTAATTACAATCGGTTGTTCAGCAAGTCCAGGATTTTGTGTAACATATCCAAAGACCATTTAAATGGCTTCGTCATGCACCCAAAGTGGCTTCGGAATCATACTCTATTGAAGCTCCGCCACGCGAATATTTACAGTTCTAGGGTTATTCTTGCCAGTACCTACCCGTAGTTGTAGTTACTTTTTAGCTTCTCACCTTTTTACATGGTCTGCAATGGGCAATATTTTACGGACAAACTTCGTGTACCTTTAGTTTATGTCCCTTACATTGGAAGGTTTGAATACCACTTTGACAGCCTGGTTTGACTTGTTTCAAGTTTGTTTCGCTACCTAGTCTATAAACATTTGGACAGGTGACTCTAGAGATATCTTGTAGCATTAGCTGATTGAGTAGATCTTTTATCAAAGCAAATCAAAGTGTGTTCTGAACTTTCACACACCCTGAATCCCTAAAAAATAACAGAATTGTCACAACGATCAAACTTTGATATCTCAACTATCGTTTTGGAGACCGGCTTGTCTTTAACGACACTGTGTTGTTTTCTATTTTTGATTTGTACTTTGTCACCAACTTTCGACGGAGTAGCAATCACGGTCGCGTTCCACACACTCTGAGATCTTGTATGAATATCGAAGACTTGTGTGACTAGGTTGTTGGTTTACCTGCTAGAAATAGACCTTGACTTTTTATAAGTTTTTCTAGCCGTTTGCTCGACGCTGCAATTTGAAGGGTAGACTAAGAAACTTCCTTTCCTAAGTTTAAACTCCTAACAGACCTCTTTGGATTCAATCCTACTTTTTTAAATCCATGTTAGTTGGTCGACTTTGAGTTAAATCAAGATATTTTCACATCGTTTTTCCACTGAATATGCGAATATCATCTAATTCATCTCAATTACGCTTGGTAATATGCATTTGAGCAACGTTCACGATTGCAATGACTTCGAATAGCAAGTTGTTTGTGACAGCATTGGTGATACGACCATACATGTTTATTTTAAATTATTTGCTTGAAAGCTTCAGGTGTTAAATTCGTTCCTGCTTCGTAGTAACATCTTTTGCCGTCATCACACTTCATACCAATTGCCATCGTTCGTTTGGTGCCTTATTCAGTTTAATTCAGATAGTCGCTTCCATATATTGGGGGTGAAAAACACAAGGAAGGGTGTTAGCAAAGCGAGAAATACAAGAGAAAGACCAAAAGTGTATGGAAACTTTCGGCGAGAATATAATTATAGTTTCACCAGATAACTTCGTTCTTTCTAAAGTAATATTTCTACAATAACAATGAAGATACCATTGAAACAGCGAACGATCACATTTTCAGATTACCTTGTCAAAGTAATACCCGCAACAATCAAAAGTTTTGAGGAATGGGGATTTTTGACATAGTTAAAGATGAGGTATGGATTATACTTATCTCTCATCTGATAATAAAGGTCCCTGTACAAAGTGCGCAACAAGGCTCAATCATAATCGTACCAGATTCAGGTTTGATAACCTTCACTAGGTAATAATGATCACAGGGTTTTGTGTCAAGTTAAAGTCTAAAAATCAGGAAAAAGTGTTTGTGAATATATGTACCTCTGGGAAAGTAAAAGAATATCCTTTTTAAACGTTTCTATAGGTCCCAGTCCCGAAGGATCTAACTGAAGAGGAATTAAGATCAATCCTTAATGATATTGACAACTCCCCACCCTTCAAAGTCCCGATGTGCATAGGAGAACCGCACGCTGAGACTGACTCAGGTACTATCTTCATACCCTAGTTCTTTCAAATCTTCTTTGTTTTCTGTCTATATGAATATTCATCCAGACGAGATCCTAATATGTGGTCCCAAGAATTCTGCGTTCAAAATTACCGAATTGATCGCTTCATACGTATGCATTCAGTGTTACTAAAAGTTAATGGCATAATAGAATTTCAAGCTTCTACTACGACGATTTTGATGTTGCAAACTCAGGTATCTCCTGGGCACCACCGAAGTTACAATGCCACGTATTCGGTTTCTCAGTGAGAACAAAATATCTAGGTGATCCGCAATATTCATTGGTTCGAAGTACTATTTAAATCACAGGTCGATTCAGTGTATTCGTGCTAAAAAAATACTGATGAATAGTGCATTAGTAGAGAGTATTTGTCGGTTCACAATTATTTGGGTAACCTGGGTCACCGTATAAACGGTTCCTAAAATTCAGATCCTGTAGCAGACGCGTACTGTTCCGGTTATTTTCGTCACGATAACTTTGATCTACTCACTAAGTAAAGTTTACTGGCCGATGTTGGCGTCGTTTCAGTCCTGAATAATTCATGTTAGTAACTGATTATTAACTATTTCCGAGCTTGTAATTCTAATTTAGAGCAAAGGTTTTCAAGACAGCACAGAGCATTGCCAATATGTAGTCACTTGGGTATCATTCACTCCCTTAATATACATGAATCGTATAAATAAAAACAAATTTTGGACTGCTTGTTCGCCTATGCGGTACTGCTTCAAAGTAGGAAAACTTAAGCCCTTATATATTCGTTATAAGTCCTGAGTTATGACTGACTAATATGCATTTTGTCTATTACAGATTTTGACTCAATTTTTACTTCTGTGTCATATAAGGATGTTTAAGTGCACGAAACTCAACCAGAAAACCAAGGTTGCGACAAGGTGAAGGTTCGGTGTTAACCGTATATTTTGTGAATAAATGCATTTGGTTTAACGATTCGTGGAAAAATGTATGACAGTTAAACCTCTGAAACAGTCGTGATACTGATAAGGTCTAAGTACATGGTCTAAACCAGTATCTAATTCCTAGAACATATTGGGGATTTTTGACTTGCTTGCTTCCTAGCCCTATAGTATGTTTATTCATTCTAGTCCGAAAAAAAAACACCATACGAACGGGTTTTTTTCCAAACACCAGAACTAGAATTAATGCTAACATTGTGTCGACCACGTTTCAATCCTCCCGGATTATATTGACCCACTAGTATCACAAAATATCGCTTTTTTGTCCGAACACCTTACCTTATTTATTATTTATTTGAACACATAAGTATTGGTACAAGGGGGCACCAAATATATATCACAAATCAGTCATTGACTACACTATTAGCCACCTATCAAGTGTACTACTATACTAATATTTATTGAAATAAAATATTCAAAAATGAAGAATATTTGAGAGAACAATTGTTTTCAAACTGCATCATCAGGCTTCACAGTTATATTATTATTATTTATATTATTATTTTAACACATAAGTATAGGTACAGGGAGGCACCAGATACATATGCGCCACACAGATCTCATTTGATATGTGTGTGGGCTGTGATACTGCCCGGATGCCCAAGCCGACGCAGGTGGTTTTCTTAGGAGGCCACACCCCGAGCCTTCGACCTAAAGGTCTAACCCACAAGGCAGTGGAGCATCGTGAGGAGATGCAGTCCCATGGTAGCCGGCGACCAACGATTGGTTCATACGTCATTCGTTCCCTCAGGATACTGGAGCGCATGTGCACGATTGGTTCAGGATCCAGTTAAAGCGCCGGACATTCGCAATTCGTCCTCTCATTTTCGTAAACAACATCCCCGCCACGAGAAGGCAGTGAGTAGGACTTCCCTGGCAGAGACTGTATACGCGTGTCCGTGAGAGAGCATTTCGAGAGGGAGGGCAAGCCCACCTCACTCTCGGCCGTACCAGGGCATTTGGGAGCAAAACACCTTACCTAAAGTTTAGGCGTTACATACATTAGACCGTCGTTGGGCTAACGATCTAAATTTTGACGACTGGTTAGGTCACTCACGGAATGTGTTGGTTATCGTAAATCAACTGTTTATTTCACTCAATATCAATATAATCTACTACACAATGATTTAATATCTAGTCACAAAATTTCTAACTCATTGGTTGCCTCTCAGTGCTTTAGTACCTATATTCTTGTTATCCGCATTTAACTTTTATTTTTCAAACATAAAGAAAGTAAAATCACTTTGTGTTCTACATATTCCGGGATAGCCCTGAACAAGCACTCAAAATGCTGTCAGTTTCTGTAGGAAATCCTGAGACGTTATAATCTCAGAAAGACAAATGTGTACTAGAAGTATCAACTCACTTTTCAGCCTTTCTCATTGTCGTAATGAACCGAAAGCATTCTGAATTCTCAAAACAATAAAATAATTAGTGACTTTTGAATAGTGCTACATATCGATAGGTCATACGTTTGATACTTCGTAACCACACTCTTTTGTATTGTCATTGATATGAAGCTCAATGACTGTGGACATCATCATCGTTCTCGCTTAACGTAGTGTTGTTTGATTGTTTCCAGTCAATCAGTAAGACCAATCAGATAAATTTATAAAGAATAAAAATAAGTAGTTAGGTTTGAAACCATAAGTATATCTACTTGGTCACATTGTATCATTTAGTATTCTTAATCAACTGCCATTTATTCACTGGAAGTGTGTTGATAAATTACCAAAATCATACTTCATAAAAGTTCCGGAAGTAATCATTTACTTGTGTTTTTAATTGATTGAAAATCTATGAAGTAGCTGAAAGCACACAAATGATATCATACTGAGTAGGGATGCAGATAAAGTGCATAATAATAATAATGCATTTTAACAAATCTTAGGATATTAATAAAGCGTTTTAAATCTACAAAATGTAAAATGACCTCTTAAATATATATTGTCTTTAGTGTGAACCTGGATATTAATTATAAAACACTTCAAGTAGTTCATTGTTTAGTGTAGCCTCAATAACAGTCATAATTTGATAAGCATTAGAATTCTCGTAGATACATAGATAGCTCACAAACAATCAAAGTCTCATTAAGTTTTCTATACGTTGTCGATGAGTTCTAATAAAAACAAAATTCACACATTGAACTGTCTGTTGCTTATTAACAAAAAATAATGCTGCAATCAACACTAATGCGTGTACTGAGGAAATTACTTCCATATGTAGTTATCGTTTTTTAAAGCCTCTGTAATTTCGTACTTTATTTCCTTAATTTTAAGCTCAGAAAGGCTGTACCGCTTATGATGTCATAATCAACCCACAATTCTACCAAAAAGTCAAATCATCAGAATTGTTTGAGGCATTTTTGATGACAGTGATATTCGAAGGCTTGGAAAATAAGTATGGCATCGAACTTGAAAGAAGTAAGCATCCAGTTTGTATTCAATATTTTCTCATTTAATCTTACAGGTTGGATTGTTTTAAAGAATAAGAAATGTATGGGTAAACTGCAAGAACAATGTATTCGAACTTCTAGTCGTCCTGCGATTATTGAAGTGAATGATTCTCAGTAAGAATTAGTATATATGTATAGTTTTTTTATTTGTAAATATTTTAGACCACCCAAACCCAAAGTGATAGAGTTACCTGACCCACCTTTTAAAGGTGATACTCCCAAGTATGAAATATTAAAGGTTAAGGATGATGTTAGTGGAGAAGTGCGTTGCTTAATTGCACGAATAATCATGCCAAAGCTGGTAGGTCTATCTTTGTAATATAGATATCCTGAAGTGCAACATGCTAATTTTCTTTGATCACTGATTTGTTACATAATTATTCAAAATAATATTCGCATAAATTGTAATCTGCCACGATTACATGGTAATTTTGTTGAGAATGTAGCTAAACTTTTTTTAAGAATTCAGTATATCTGTGAATTGATCCTAATGACCTTCGAATGCTTTTTTATTTCCCGGGTGTTCTACAGGTTGTTTTTTTAGGATTTCATATGAAGATAGTGTTAGCAAATACTGATGTAAACTTTCTATTGTTGAATACCATACTTCCACTCCAATTGTATGCATATAACAATTTATAAATGGATATAAAAGTAAAGGACAGAATTTCTAATGTACATCTTTTTTCTAATGATTATTTTCATGAAGAAGATTTAAAATTGAACCGTCTAACATTGAAAAACCTGTTGCTTTTGTTTCTTTCCTAGAGTTACTTTGTTGATATTCACGAAATCATTTAAATTTTACGTAAAGACGAAATGTCACAAATGTACTATTTGGTATTAATACACTAATAACTCGAATGAACGATGTGATCTTATGGTGTTTTGTCGGCTGTAAGCCATTATCAAGTTTACAAAGGAGACTTGATCCGATCACACTAGACATACATTATATTGTAGATATTCAGGTTGTCAAATTCGTAAAGATAAAAAATATTTTGACAAAAGGAAGGAAGAGAGAGAATGGTATACAATAGTGTAGAAATAAAAAGTTATACAGAATGTTTCCCGGTAAAAACATCTCTCATTCTGTATATCACGCGTTTAGTAGTGCATTATAGCGTTGATAACAGACTAGTATTCTCTATATACATATATATTCAACATTTCATACGGCACCACCTGTACTATGTATTCAAATTATAGATGCCATATTTATTGCACTAAAAAACTTAAATTTCGCTTTTTATTCAATGTAATTATCTCCTTGACAGTAAACATGAGATTGAATTAAGTTTTCACTGTAGTTTACTGCATATTAAATAACCGATTTCTAAATATCATGAAAATAGTTTAAATATTATAGCGAAAAAGTACCCACTTAAAAGAGATGACTATGAGTTTCAGGTTTCTTCTGTCTTAAAATTTATATCATGTCACGTAGAATTTCATATAATTCTACCTTTCTTGCGATATTGTTAATTTTCTACCTGTTTATTTTTGTCCTATATATTACTCACCGTTGATCCTGGTTTTTTTATGCTATGCTGTAATAAACTACTAATTTCATTTGAGTACTATATTTTATCCACTATTATATTATGATTGTAACAAATGTTAGTAAAAGGGTATTCTTTTACTTGAGGGACAAAACACAATATCTATAATAATCAATAACATGATTAAAATATAATGTCACCCTTACATTATCGGAATCCAGTTGAGAAAATGCTTTCAAGTGACAAGTTAAAAAAAAGTTTTGTTTCACTGACTTTTATATTTAATTATCATCTCTCAAAACGAGATATGAGGTTCTTAAACCGAATTTTTCAGCGCTAGTATTTTATGTCATGTTAATCTGGCGGCAAACGAAATCTAAATTATTTTAACTTAATAATGGATCAGTGTTTTAAGCTCATTTTTAAGCTGTTGTATCACTCGTTAAGACCCATTTTCACTTCAGTCTAGACAACAAAATATTAACTCTGGCTTCCCAGTAATTATGACTCAAAAATCAGTACAATAATATTTACTTAGTTTATAGATGTGATAGAAGTTCATGTGATAGTATATATGTCCAAATGGTCTTTGTAACAAGCTTATTTCATCTGAAATAACTCACCATGCCCGGTAAATAATTGTCAGGGTGTTTAGAAATATTTGACACTCAGGATTCCAACTTGCACTTGTGTAAATGATTTTTTGTACTCCTGGTATAAGAAATTGTCTCATGCTAAAACACTAAAAGTCAATTATCTAAATGATCAAAGTATTTACTAACCAATTCTAGGAAAGTAAATCTATATAAATTTACTTTGATCGCGTTTAGTACGATACCAAGTGACTGTATACACCAATATTAATTGATATTTTATACTTTTTATCTATATTCCAACTGCATAAATGTAGTTCAAACGTCTTTATGTAATATTTTGATTTAGAATCAAGATAGATATTATGCCAGTGTCTTTGTGTTTAATAATACATCAAATCTTTCACATTATTCACAATAAAAAGTATTGTTTATCGTAAACCTCCTACATAAAACCGATGTGCATATTTTTGAGCTTTATCTCATTACAACATAAGAGAAACTTGGTCAAACACAGCCCACACGTCCAAAATTATTTGTTGTGATGACTTTTCAAAAAAGAAATTAATACTTATTCATGATTCACCCTGTAGACATGGGTCCCTGTCAAATTTCCTAACAAGGGATAAAAAACAATTTGTTGGGGTGATCCAGAGATTTTCCCGCAAAAGACACTCAAGGATCAGGAAACACTAAGAAGCATTTCATCCAATCAGCGTTCACCTGAAGTTTTAACCAGAAACATCAAGGAAGTGAAACGTCACATGTAAAGTTTCTGATTGGCTGATTGCTATACTACTACTATGTTTAGTAGCATTCCAGAATCTTCGAGCAACCCAAGGACATTTGAAATATTATAAATACCCTATATTTTCTGTATTAAAATGAACCTTTGGAGTACAGTGCTTCTCGCATGTATTGTGCCTTTTCTCTCGTGTTTAGGTCGCTGTGTAGTTCTAGCTTAGGGGTTACGAGAATAGCTTAGAAACCGAATATAACGTTCAAATTTGCAAGACTTATCACAATTAGGTCTATTTTGGCGCACCCTCTTAAAACTGGTCACCATGTCGATATAAATTCAACGTCTAAAGTTATCTATAGAATCTCATCGAACTGATTCTATGTCTGCAGAATTTGACTTTTACGTACGACAGAAGCCGTAGGAATATATATCAATATACCTAATTTCTGTATACAGAAATACTTTTTACAGCTTTTAATCTCCTTTGTCTTACTTATTACCTTCCCCAAATTTTGCGATTTTGTTATATCTTAATCTTATATAATGTGTCTAATAATCTGATCATCTAATTTTCATTTCACTCGTTTTACTATTTATTTATTAATAATCTGACAGATAACACAAAATGTATATTTAATTTCAATTCCTATTCTTGATCTTATGCAACTAGTTATGGTAGCCAGCTTTTTATAGTTTCATTTTATTTTTAATTTTACAGACATAATCTAATAACTGATTACTATATTACTAGATTGACTTATTATTTATTTATTTATTTATTTGAACACAAAAATATTGGTACAGGGGGGCACCAAATATATATGAGCCACAGAAAACAATAAGAATTTAAAGAGAAGGGAAAAAAAGTAATGAACGTGGGGAATTATAAAAAAAGAACAATAATGGGGGAAACAAAAGGTAGAAACAGGAGAAATCTCACAGTTAAAAAAAAAGCAACCACTTTTTATGAAGAAAGTAAAAGAAGGTTACAGCAGGATCGCCATTGGCTTCTATTCTGAGCCATATCTGATAACGTCTTTAGCCACTGCGTTACACCGTCTCTCGGACCCCAGCCAGGGAGTTGAGAACGACCAACACAAGCCAGCCCTTTGCAGCTTTCTTTCATACCACGACACCATGTCATATACTGACCACCTCTCCGCTTTTTCCAACCAGTCCCAGAGTCGGCAAATAATGCACGACGTGGAGTTCTCTGGGACGACATTCGTAGAACATGTCCAAGCCACCGAAGTCGGTGTTTCAAGATGGTGACACCAATTTCATTATCGTCTCTGTGACCGAGCACACGATGCCGGACCTCTGCATTACTGACATGGTGTTGCCACTGGATGCCAGCAATCCTTCGGAGACAACGATGATCAAACACAGAGAGTCGTCTAACATCCTCAACTCGGAGAGGCCAGGTTTCACAAGCATAGAGCAAAACTGCTCTCACCGTCGCGTTGTAGATCCGACCTTTTACAGCCAGACTAACATCACGAAGACGCCAAAGGTGACCCAGATTGGCATAAGCCGCTCTGGCTTTCACTATGCGTGCATTGATCTCATCACTCACGCCACCACCAGCACTTATGCAGCTACCTGAATACACGAACTTCTCGACTACTTCTATCTGGTCAACATCCAGAGTGAGTACAGGATTAGAATCCTGCCAGTCTTGTAGAAGGACTTTGCACTTCGAAGGTGCGAAGCACATACCATACCTACGGACACTGATTGCCAACTGAATAAGTGCAGATTGCATGGCTTGGGCATTCTCGCACAGTAAGACAATATCATCTGCATACTCAAGGTCGAGAAGTCTTCCTCCAGGCAACAGATCCACACCACCATTACTTACATCCATCAGAACTGTTTCAAGAATGTCATCGATGGCAAAGTTGAAGAGGAATGGTGAGATTGGGCAACCCTGCCAAACCCCATTGCTTGAATGGAATAATAGAGAAAGGTGATTGTATGCCCTCACTCTGCCTGAGGTGTTTGTGTATAACGCTTTTAGGATGTTAATAAACTTCTGAGGCACACCCTTCTTCAATAGACAATCCCAGAGAACAGTTCTGTCCAACGAATCGAAGGCAGCCCTGATATCAAGAAACACTACGATTGTTGGCCTTTGATCAGTATGGCGGTGTTCTAACACTTGGCGGAGGGTGAAGATATGATCAATACATCCTCGACCAGAACGAAACCCAGCCTGCTCCTCGCGAATCAATCCTTCTCGGGTTCTGAACAATCTACGAAGTATAACGGAAGCCAATAGCTTGGACGCAATCGGAAGTAGACTTATCCGCCGACAGTTGTTACAGGAACGACGTGAACCCTTTTTAAAGATAGGGACAACTATCGACTCATTCCATGACGTTGGCACACACTCTAGTTCCCAGACCTTTGTAAACAACGTCGTCAGTCCCTTAGTCAGAAAGTCACCACCATCTTTGAGAAG